TGGGAAGTTTTCCCAGAATTTTCAAACACTTGAGGAAACCCAGCTATATTCATTGATAAAACCCCATAATTGGTAACCCTAAAATTTTGAGTTTTTCACAACGTATGCACAAAATTTCCCCTGCATTTCTGATAAGTTTGTGTAAATTTATCTACGGTCTGTACCATTTTTAATTCTCCTCAACCTATTCATAAAATTCTAGGAAACCTATTGACATTCTTCAGAAAAACCACTTCGGATTAACCATTTTCCAAAAGAACATACCAGCTTAATACTTTGCACTGACAATTTGCCGCGAATATATTTCTAGTTTTTCATCCAGTGAACTTCGCAAAATGGGTGCAGTTCGAAAGCAATTAAACCACAGTTTTTAAAAAATCCATTCTGCTGCACACACACAACGACGGTGTATGAAATTTCTCTGCAAAACTAATTGCACGATTCACTATAAACTGACATCCATATGTCAGATCATTTTTTGGCGGTTGTAACGCATTGAGAACCACTGTGCACTTTGCTGACCAGACAATCTTTGAGGTATATTGCACAGCTAAACCTCTAGCTGGCGTAACTACAGGATCTATAGTGTTCGCCGTTTTTGATGGTCACACGATCATTTTTAACTCTACTGAAGTATCTCCAGTTGTCTACAGAATTTTTGTGGACCACAGTTGCATTTAGGAGACTCAGGCTTGCTGAAAGATCCCAATACATTTGATGTTATGATGGTGCCGAGCTTCAGTATATCCATACTAGTGTAGGTGTGTGTTTCATCAGTACTATTATTGTCGAAGACCCTCTGTTTCGCTTCATTACTCATATTTGTTAATCTGCTTCAAGACTTTAGTTTTTTCAGGTTCGCTGACAACGTTTTCCGGAGAACTGTCAAGTATATGATCATGTTTGTCAGTAAAATTAAAAAAACTATATGCTTAAAATGAATAAAAAGCGAGTGGTACAAATGTTGGAATTTACTAAAACTAGTCTTAACGTGGAAAACTGTAAAAATGATACTTTTGTTGTGTATGGACACAACAAAAGTTTGGGCAATGCAAATCACACGGGGACTAAACTTTCCGCTCGCGAAACTTGTGCCTGTTGCCCTAGCTTCCGAACGATCCAACTCGTTAATTCTTCTTGAATCACATGTTGACCATGTCAACTATTTGCTTTCTAACTTGGACTTCTTATGAGCGTATGTATATATTGCTTGACCTATTCAGTACAGTCCGAAGATTGTATTTGTATGAACATAAATATTGAGTCACACTTTATCTGGATGCGTTGGCTCGCTGGTCTTCCCCGCTTCCCTTTCCTGCTTTTTACTCCGAATATCGGTCTGGGTAAGCAAGTGCTTGAAATAAATTCGTCCAACGCAAACGACACTTGATTTCTTAGTATTGCAGTCACACGGAGGGGGTTAGCTTAAGTGAAATGTGGAGTCAAATTGAAGATATCTAATCAATAGCATATCTACGTGTTTATCAAAATTGGATATACAAAAGTTGAAAGTTGAATGACTAAACACTGATTAATGTTAGGCTAGTAACGCGATCAAGGTTCTCAGTATGTTATATTTTACCATAGTCTGATTAAGGGGAGACAGATGTTCTATTTAACCGTCAAGGATTTCTTTTGAAATTTATGAATAGTGTGAAGTGGCATTTTTCTGTTTTTAGTCACCACCTTCAATTTTGATATCGTTTGAACACAAACTTCAAAGTATTGGTGGCTTGAGTTCTCTGTTAAGTTTATTGGAAACGTTTATTGATTATTTCAGGATGAGGTTCACATTGATGTGATGGTCTGATAATAATGTATGTCTGTTGAACCCAGAAGGTAATTTTAAAACATCTACGGAGTTGGATCAAGACAAATCTTTCAATGAAGATCGATTAACTGTTTCATGTTATTTAAATAGTTACAAATAATGTTATTCAGTTCAGCCAAGACGTCTAGCCTCGTACGATGCATCAGAGTTATACGCACACATGGACCATATTTCTATGTAAAAGTAGTGTATCGTATGACAAAAAGACAGTTTCAACGAAGGTTTTATTTTATGTTTAAGCTTGATCACTCGTCTCCATGAGTAAGTCACACTAGATTCTTACGAAGATATAATGTGCCACATTTGATTATTAATTTATCCATAAAACGGTGTAGATAAATCCCATTTATCCTAATTGCATTTTAGGAAATTTTGAAAATATATTTCGTCTGCTAATTTTGTAAAACCTATATCTTAAACATGATGATACACTATTAGTGATTAAAGTCCTTAAGCGGTTTGGCTGTAATTTGGATTATTGGATGAAGTACACCAAGATCAGACAGAATGACTTTTTTCTAAATAATGCAACATAATTATCGTAATCGGCTAGACGTCATAAGTTCCAATTCTGCTTATCTTGGCCTTTCATTAAATGGGCAGCATCCTGGTTTTGTATGATGGGTTTCATCTGAAATTGTGAGCGCTACTGTGTAACTACTGCAACTAAAATATGTGATGATTAGAAGTTGTAAAAATCGATCAGTTTATTAGCAATAAATATAACTGTTCACTTGTGGTGTGTTCTAGTTATGTCGACATATATAGTATGTAGCGCTAGTCAGTAATATACTGTCTGGCAGAAGAATATTGAGAAGACCGAGGAGGAAATAACGGGAAGGGAAACAAATCGGTATGGAAATACAGGAACAATGAAGTCAGAGACGATTGTTGAACACTTTGCAAATAAAGAATTTATTGTGTGATCCTCAGATTTTACTAAGACATTCTCTAATTTTGTTTTCAAATACATTCGATTGTTCCCACGTGTATTTTTCGTGCCTTAAGGTAACCCTCGTGCTATTGATAGAAGAAACCAGACAAGTAGTGAATAGGTTTTTATTTCGATCCTCGCGCAGTCACAGTGGAGCGTGGGGTTATTTGTCCAGACAAACAAAGCCTTTCAATATTCAGTATAATATAATAGGAAATATAACGCCTATGCAAAATAAGGAAGTGAATGAATACTTGACAATACTGTTTTGGCATGTGCTTGATTGTTTGAGGTCACCTCTTAACCAACCAACCTAAGGTGTTACATATTCTCGTTTACTACACAATTTGTACACAAGTAGTGACGTGCAAGTACGAAATAACTCTGTGAGTGCAGCCAAAGTAATGTACGTGGAGTTAAAATTAGCCTCACAATAGTGTACAAAGAAACAGTCAGGTAGCACAAGTACTAAGATTAAATAACAATCTAGAGATTTGTAATCTGTTATGCAAATCATTATATTTGTTCGACGGTGTTTGGAGTTTACAATATGCATGATCTAAAATAGGTTGGTTACCATTAGAACAGACTACGGAAACCAGAATGACATCCTGTCGGAACTTCAGTTGTATATAATTAAACTATCGGTATCTAGAAATCGTCACTACAATCCCTGTGAATAGTCCAAGAACATTTTTATAATACTATGCAACTCTTCAAGACTTAAAACATATTATATTCTAACGGGGAATCTTTTCTTCCAATAATCTTGACGGTGCTGCTTATAATAAGGATTTTTTCACAATTGCTTGCTGCACGATGTACATCTGCACTTATCTCTCCCCGTCAACATGTGAGCCCTGCCAAGGATTTCATTTTCTCAACATTTCAACGTTGAAAGTGAAGACCCTTCAAGATGGATATACGTGAATACTGAAAAATAACAACATGATCATTTAAATATACACGACTACATAGATTAATGGATAATTCATCGCACTTTGTAAAATGGAAAAGGAATCTACGTTTAAGATTAGAATAGCAACCCTTTCGATAATATCATCTGAGTTTGACTTCTTTCAAATTTACAATAAGCTCCTAGTTGCGAACATAGGAACGTATTCTGAACTAATGCACGGGTGAGTCCAAATATATCTGCTCAACATATAGCATGCAAATTGGGTTTATTGAAGGACTTCACGGATATTACTTACATGACAACGCTATCTTCTGTATCACCTGTGGCATCTTCAACCTTTCAACCAAGGATTCTAAAGCCAGACGAACCAGGGGTTTCGTATGAAGCAGTTGGAAGGTATGATTTGAAGACGAATAATTCGTCTACGAGGATATGATCTAAGCTGACTAATTGTTGTAAGTGATGAGTAACAAGGCGTCCACAACCATGGTCTCGTGAAGATGCTTCACAGAAAGCATTTAGCCATGTTGTGAAATCAGTGACATTAGCAAAACTGTTCAAGAATAACCGAAATATTTATTTTGAAGATTTTTATACCATTACGCATTCCAACTTGACGTGTCAGTAGTGCATATTATTACAAAATTTGTCATTGAAAGTCAGCTTTTCAATATCTTCGAATTATGAGTACAAAGATAATCCATGGGACTGTATAATAATGTTAAATCGAGAGTGGAACAGTTTACAAGGAAAACTAAACATCAGAATCCAACTATGCAGTTCATGAAACCATCATTTCTGTATTTAGCCTCAAATGTCACTTCCAAACACCGTAAAACGGATAGATAAGAAGAATTTTCAAAATGAGAAACAGTAATGAGATCAAAAATGTAACAGGAATAAGTTTTGTTCAAACTTCTTTTATTTTGGATGAAAAAATTACATTTGCAGGAATAAACTTTTGAATAATCTAAAAACAAAGAATGAACACAGTTCAAAGTAATTTCTACATTCTTCCAAAAAGTAAGCAATGTCACAAGTCTTGTTTTAGTGCACTAATTATTTACACTTATGAGACCTTGAAAGATACATTTTACAAATATTGATGAGTTTTTCGCGCTTATTCTGTATTTAACAATAGACAGCTATGAATACACCTCAATTTTTCTACAAAACGTTCATTGATATGGTGGTTAGCTTCATTGTTTGTAACAATTATCAAGCATTTTTTAACTAAAACAATCAAATTTGATCGTTATATTTGCTTCATTTTGTTCTAAAATTTGGACTAAGGATAAACTAAGATATTAATTAACATGCCTACATTATCCGAAACTTCGAAGCCACACAATGGAGAGAATGGTTCCTCAGATTTAAAGCTTTCACAGAATTACTTGCCAACCAATAACACTATTTTACATGATACCAACGTTTACGAAAATCAAGGTGATTCAGAAGGTGAGCAATGCGTAGAAAATCATTTCAAAGTTGATGGTTCGGGAAACGGTGCCGGAGTACCGGTAAAAACCAAATATGCCTCTGAAGCACACGTTTGTTTTCCAAGTAAATGGTCTAAAAGCATAGAACCAACGCTTATGTGTATAAACGGATTAGATGATTTTTATAATCAGGTAAGTGCTTAAAAGTGGGAAGCTCATTGATGACATTGGCGGTACTTCAGGAAGTTTTCTCATGTTTTGTTTAATATATCTGCTCTATAAACAATGATCTTTCGTATCTTAAGTATCACGTTTTACAAAGTTATAGTTGATCTTGAAATATGATTTTAAATAAAAATCTCGAATGACGTGTTTAGAGCACTTTAAACAAACAAGAAGAGATATTTATGGCTGATTTCTTCGTGTCACTCAAAAGTTGTGTACTTAAGGAGTAATATTTTTACTTCGCTTGAGTTACTTATTAAACTGTTAAGAGAATGTATAATAAATACACCGTTTAGGTGAAAAGCAAGTTACTTTGCTCGATAAATTGACACAATTGAGCTACACTGTATTATTTATAACAACCGACCAAATTGTTCGTACATGAATATGCATTTGATTCAATTACCAGATACAATACTTTCAGATGTGCTCACTTTGTTCTCTATGATATCAATACTGGTATATACAAAACCCCTAGTCGTTTCAAATTAAGCTATTTCCGATCATTACACGTGCTTGAGTTACACCAGATCACTGGAATAAAAATTTATACGCACTACGGTAGAGTCTTCGGACACACATCCATTGACTACAGATAATATTTTAAAAATTACTATAGTTATCATTATATTATGACATTAGCCGTTATTTCATCAATAAACCTATGTTGATCAACTAACTACTTTTACTTTTATGCTGAACATGCTATTCAACCACGTAAAATTTACGGTTTGGCATTTTTAAATGATTCAAAGCAACAAATATGCGTACTTGGATGTAATTTGTGTGATTCAGAAGAAAAACGGAGTTTATTTCATATTCAAAATAATGAATGGACTTGTAATCACGAAAACCAAAGTGCTAATCATCCTCGTCAGCAGAACCAAAACAGTAAAAGCGATCTATTAAATAAACAAATCAATGAGTTAACTGAGCGTGGAAGTTACAAAATTAAGTGGGTTGAAAAGCGCAACGAATATGAAAGTGAAATCAAAGAGTTAAGAAGAGCCAAAGAAAAGGCCACTCAGAAAAATATCAAGTATGAAGAACAGGTAACTTATAAGGGAAGCAGATCAATGATGGCATTAATAAACGTTTTATTATTTCAATATATTTAGTCAAACATGTTTTAGAATGTATCATCAGAAAGCTCCTTTTGAAAAATTCATTACCTTTGTAGTTGTCAGCCTTATGTATTCATAACTTTAAAGACGGGGATATCGTGTTTAAAAAAGCCATCTCATAGTACCGACTCAAGACCGTTTTTACTGCGCTGACAAATCCATAGAATGTAGAAAACATTTTTATAACTTGTATACATAGCCTTTGGTCATCTATTTGCATGTTGTGATGCAAACTGTCTTCTCTTCTGTCATTCAACTGTTTTCCCTATACTTTGTTTTTGATCTACAGAAATCCTCTTCTTGATCTGACAACTCTTACAGCCTTAATGCCACGTTCTGTCACATATACTAAGAATTATTCATGTAAGGAGCGTCCACCACAGTAGGGAAAACCCCTGAATCAATTTTACTTTTCCAAATATTTTGTAATCTTTTGTGTCCATTGGTAAGAACAATTCCATGACACTTAAAATTTATTTAGACATCTTTCATTTAATTGTTTATTGCTTCGATGATCTCAAAATCGGTTAACTTAAAAAGTGTACTAAATTGTTCAGTCTTGCGTCATAACAATCAGTTTTATTTTTCGAGCTTTTCTGAAAAAAGAATAAACTTGGATGATTATCAAGGAACTACTGAATTTTTGAAACTTAAAAGTTATTTTTACGTAGCCTGGTTAGTTATAAAATGTGATTACCATAAAATTTAGAATCGGAAAGGTCTTGAATTATCTGTTGTTTATTATGTCGTAGATTTGAGCTCATCCAGCTGGCCCCAATCACAAATCCTCCTGGTTTATAAGGACAAAGATCTTTCTTTGATAACCACGAAGGAATCAGACTGACTAGTATATTACCTAAAATACCAGCCTCTGTATTCGTTAGATCGCTAATTAAGGCTTGTGAAAAGTAAACTCGATAAATATGGTCTGATTTCAGACCTAGATATGTATGCAATAACCAAATGACCACTCTTCATTGCTTTTTAGAACGTAGGTATACTTGTCTATGTTTAATCATAATTGTATCAGAACTACTGATATCAAGTGGTCGCCGTTGTCGCCCGCCGTGTTAGTTTTTATTGAATTTCGTCATAAATTTACTCCTTGAAGCTACCATTTCTTCAACAAACTTCCAGTAGTTGATCTACTATCAGAAAATTCATTTATCTACTTAGAACACTTAAATGTCATAATTCTGTTAGTCAAAACCGACCCGATGAGTGGTCTAATGATTTTCTTAAGAAACAGCCGATGTATATTTGGTACGTTTCTTTCCTCCTCTTCTTGTAAAATGTTGCCTATTGACTTTTCTGTGCCAATTACGACGCTTATTATAGATATTGAAGTATCTGAGAGTGTCGGCCACTTCAATTTCCTTGGAAATCTTGTCAGATTTAACGGGTATTTTTCAGAGAAATCCTAGTACAGACTAAAAACGCCTCGTTGGCTTTTACCAATCCGCATCACTTGTGGAGTAGGTCCTTCATGTTTAACTCCTTAAGTGTGAAGCGTGGTTTTTTCAAACAAAAAATCTTCATGGATTACTTGTCATCTGATTATAGATTCCTTCGAAATATTGCTGGGATGACCAAGCAGGCAATAACAAATTTAGGAACAGAGTACTAGACTGAGTCAATGAATCAGTCGATCAGGCTTGTGAATGTTTATCGGTTGATGTGGTTAGGGAATGCGTAACGTATATTGGTGAGAAAATAGATTGGAAGAAAGGATCTGACACATGTTGATGGATGTAGACTGCCCAGTAACGGTCTACACAACAATAACTATCGGTGACAGAATACTTTTAATAAAATGGCCAAGAATAGGTCACAACGAAAAAGACACATCTACTCTTTATCATCTAGATCCTGGGCTCCAGTATTTCTCTATGTAGGCCTTCTTGCTGTCTTTTCTTACCAGATTTCGAATTTTCAGTCCCTCGTTTTATAATTACTATCACATTACTTTGATTGTTTGCTATTTTTTCAGTTAATTTTTTTATGATCGTGTGGTATGATATCTAGGACAAACACAGGTTTTCGCCAGGCCCTACGTTTTTATGACTGAATTGATGATCCGGACCCATCTCACTATCTTGGCTTATTATCAAAATAATATTGTTATTCTTTTCTCAATAGACATAAATTACGTTTTCGTTGATAAACATATGTATGATTTACGGTTGCATAGATGTGTAGATTACTTTAATGTGAGATTAAAGATAGTAGCTCAATAATAAAGTTACTTGGTGAGACTAAATTTATTATAGTGGTACTTATTTCTATTACATCATTTGAGAACAATATTTCAATTATAATCTGACTCTATATCGATCTATCGGAAACTATATATCTTACTATAAGTCTCAAAAGAATATTGTATTAATAAGTTAACAACCTTATTTTCCGAAACATTTGTCGTTTATCAACTTGTTACTACCGATAATAATGCACAGATAATTAAATGACTATTACAATTGGTTCAGATCATATGTAGACTAAATCTACCTAAATAATTTTTCATTATTTGATGTAGTGTTCCTCTTAACCACTTCTTTTAGTTAACAACTAATTTTTCTGAAGAAACTCAGACTGTTAGCAGTTAAAAAACAAAAATATAGTGCTTGCTGTTACGCACAATTTAGCAAATAAAATATTCCATAAACTACAAACCTCGAGACAGAGAGTGGTTCATTTAAACATCCTTCATTATGTGTTGATTGCTTTGAGTGGTGGTTACTATTGTTATTATTAATTATTTGACATTATTTATACGGGTAGTCTGGTTAACCCAGCATATCACTGTTTTCTTCCTTGTTTATTCAGATAACCGAATTAAAAAATAAGCTCAGTTCAAAACAAGAACAGATACACAATTTATTGATTGAATTAGAACAATCTAATCAAAGATTAAATGTAATCGAAACACAATTTAATGCTTACAAATTACAAACTAGTCAGAATGAAGAGAATTACCAAATCTTATCGCGTGAATTCGTGATTATGAAACAGTGTAAAGAGCAAGCAGAATTGAATGCAAAAAATTGTGAAAACAATCGGTTACTATATGAGAGACGAATGAAAGAATTGGACGACAAGTTAAATGTTATCCTGAATTTTTTAATCTTATAAATTTTGATTTTTAGGGGCTTTCCTATTTGTTTAGATATGATATGTCCATATACAATACATTGTTCAATATCTGAGTTTTCAACATTCTTTCATCAGATGGTTCGTGGAAATTTCGGACATTTTGATTTCATATACTCCCTTAAATTACCCTATTTCTACTGCCACTGAAATATATCCATTTTCATCAACAATTAAAATCTCAGTGCGGTGTACCAGCCATTTGAGCTCGGAGAAGCCTATCAGCTTTTTTGGAAGGAAGATTGTTACTTCGAGGCACAAAAGCCACCATAAATATACTCATGAAACATCCTTTCTTATGCTTACTTATTAGGCACTTGGAAACTATCTGTTTTTTGGCAGCAAAGTAACATATACTTACTTGTGATTATTTTCAAATAAATGTTAATTGCTCTACAGTGATGAAATCCATATATTGTTAATATATCTAGATCAGAGAACCTGATGACTGTGACCATACTAATTTATCCCACTAATCAAAAATTAAGATGTTAGGTTTCTATTTTGACACAAACGTTCTGTATAAGTGTGAAAAATCATATTTCTGCCATACATTACGATGAATACACGAAGTTATCCACTAAAATATAGTAAATTTTCAATATTAATGGTATATTTATATCCAAATTTTTGTGGTATTTTTTGAGGAAGGAAAAACAAAATATTTGTTCTGTCATCGGTTTGTGGTGACAATTATCTTCAGAAAAATGAATGATTAATAATATTTATGTGAAATCCTGCAGCAACTTCAAATAATCGTAGTGTTATGGCTAAAATAAAATTGATTTGGTGACAGAAAGAATTAGAAATAATACGATAGAAATAGCGCTGATTTTTACAGTCACTCGTATTTAAAAATTCAATAAAAGACTGAAAAATCTTTCAGTTTAGCTGTATTTAGAAGTCTATATATTTTAACCCCCGAATGAAAATTTTTTTAAAGATATCCTTCGAATCTACAAGTTGTTGTTTCTTGCCTGGCTTTATTTGTTCATGCATTTGATCATTTATATTATAAAAACTATTCTAATTATTATGAGTTATTCTACTGTCCAAAACATCATTACAGATTGTGCATGAAAATATCAAAATACAACAAAGAAATTATTTTAGGTACAAAGTTTTGCAAATTATGATCTTTTTTCCTACTATCTCAATCTAAGATCAATAACATAAATGATTTTTTTAGTTATGAACAAAGTAAACAACGTTATTATGACGATATAAAAGGACTAATGAATCAATTGGATATGGAACGTTCAAGGGCTGATGAACTCTTGCAAAAAATTGAACATAATCGCCGCCAAAATGAAGAACAACTTAAAACCGTATGATTATTTTATAATATATATATACTTCATAATAAATTAGTCTCTTTAATAATATCAGGACAAGATTTTCAAAGTCCATCATGATTTATATTTCCAGTGTTGTTCAGGTTGTATACTAAATTGTATTTGGATTTTTTAAAAATGTGTTCAAAGCAACTTTTTCGACAGAATTTTTACTCTGATGGAAGCACAATTACTTTCCTAAAAAATTATATTACTTATTAGTCTGATTTGATAAATTTATTTATAAAACTGATAAGGAGTATTTAAATTCTTGTGGAAATGTTAGACATTTTCCTTTATTTTTAGCTAATCATTACCTTTAACTTTTCTTAACAGTTTCGAATTTATTCATGTTTATTTGTCTTCATAATTGGTATGATAATTAAATCGTAATTTTTTTAAATAATGGGATGATTGTTTAGAAAGTAATTATTCTGTATTACCATGCCTAGTAAAAAATGCTTGTGTAGCTAATAATTTGAACGGTACTTAATGTTTCATTGTAAACACCTTAGTTCTTATGATAGTCTAGATGATTAGAAAAAATCTGACGGTAATCCGTTATATTAAGTCAAATTCTTTAATATTAATGAGTAATTATTATATTATAAGGGTAGTATTCATCGTGTATTTGCTTCAGGTGGGATACTATTCCAGTTCATGATGCAACAGTAATATCATTCAGAGAAAATCTAGCAGTAAATTCAGATCAAAAATTTCCTATACTTGATTGCTGAAACGCTTTTCATCTAAACTTAAACGATATATTCCATGGATTTTAAGGCTGAATTTGCGGCGTTAAGCTGATTTTATCAGTACATTATAATGACACTGCTGATACAAACAGTTACTGCGAATATAAATAAGGATGAAGAGAACAACGCTTTGAGTACGAACGACTGTTAGCCTGGTCTTTAGAATGAAAGGATTCAGCATATGTGAAAAGATTTTAAAACATCTGAAGCATAAATTGACAATCGCTTGCAGTAAGATGATAAGACCCTCATAATCAAACAACTGTGGTAATAGAAAATAACATCATAAAAAGATAAAATATATTTTACGCATATGAAGATCCTCTATTTAATAATCTGTACCATTAACGCCGATACTGTAGATCGAACAAACTCAACAGAAGAAACTAGATGCATTGTTGGAAGATGGCCAAAAGGAGTTAAGAAAACAGCTAGCTGAAGCGAATGAACAAATTAAGGAGCAACAAATAACAATATTTAATCAAGAATTAAAAATTTCTACAATGGATTCAGATAAAAATGAGGTTAGTGTATAAATTGATATACGCATCGCTGACAATATAGTCAAATATTTTCTAAACTATATGAATTTATTAAGTAAACGCAACTATAAAAACATGTGTAAATCCATCCAGTTTCCAATAAGGTTCTTAATAACATCGAATATTTTGGGTGGTTACAAACAAGTACAACTATCATTGAATACAGGAGTCTATAACAAAATAAAACTAATTAAAGTTCGGAGTTTAACAGTAACCCATAGATTATATTTGTTGAGTATTGAGATAGTTTATTGGTATATTAGACTTGAGAATGTAATCGCGATTTCAGTTCACTGGTATATAGGAAATCGAGAGGTACTTGGTCTAAACCCTTGTTTGTCCGTTACTTATTAATTTCAAGCTAAAGTGAAACAGCTGTTCAGTACGCATAGGTTTAATTGATTCTCAAGTTGATGTCGATATGTGATAAAAAATAATCTTCTTTAGTATTTTATTGTCGTTTCAATCGAACCGCAAATAAAGAACTCTTTGGCTTTTCAATAAATTCGCGAATGATTTTTCAGTATGTAAATGGAATGAAACAAAGCTAGATAGATCGATTAAGGTAATAATGAATTACTCTTCATTTATTACACTACAAACTAAACAAACACCCAAGTTTAATACTATCACAGATAAACTCCTACTCAAACTAAATTAATAATGATAGGGTATAAAGATTTAACTTACAAAGATAAATTTGAAACCTGAATTCATCACACACTAATAAAATGTGGAAAGTTTGTCAAACAACACTTATCAACCATACATTTATTGGTTATAATTCGATAATTTATTAATAGAGGTTATTGAACCTTACCTATATCTTAACTTTGGTAAAGGTTTTCAGTTTTAAAAAAATTTCATACAAGCTAATCCTTTCTGTTAAATGAGATATCGAGTACAGTTTTATTGTGGTGCTTATGGTTCATTTCCCTTACTTAAGTTAAAAGTATTACTTAATGAAATGGTTATCAAAAGTTTACTATGGCTCATGACCACATTTATCAAGATCCATCCTGTTGCTTTTAGCATATTAAACCTTCAAATGAATTTTATATAATTTATTATTCTATGGAATACTATTTCAATTGCATTTTGAAGAATAGCTAATGCTTAAGAGTATTTAAAATAATCGAGCTTTGAACCAAAAATTCGAATTTTTGAGAAATATTAAGTTGAATTTGAAACCTAGATATAAAATTTCTAGCCGTTAATTTGATATATCTGAGCCTTATGGTGATAAATTATAATGTCTATCAATTTCATTCTACCTAGGAATTTAGCTCAAAAATTTTTGTTCAGAAATAAAAGCATCCAAAAAACATCAACAACAAAATATATTGTGATGATATTAAATTAAATTATTTTGTGTGTTGTAAATTTTCGACATACTCACAAATTCAAATTCATGTGTAATATGCATAAATTTATTTGGGTTGTAGTAAAGGAGAACACAGATGAGGACAATCAATTTTTATTTAGTACAAAATTACAGAGTTACTTGGTAAAATAGAAAAGCCATACTATCATACTTAATTTGCAAAATGTTCACTAATTATCTCGAACTTCATTGTATTCGCATTTCCATACTAATTGCCTTTTATTCCCGCTCTTTCTTTCCTTATCTTCCCCATCTTCTGCCGCCAGACATTACATTCCTGACTCGCGTCATATACTACTTATATCAATATAAGTAGCACGCACCACAGGTTTATTAGAGTAAAATAATAATAATTACTATCTATTTTCATAAAAGTTTAACTCATAGACTAAATATAAATTTGTAAAGCATTTTACTTATTTATACAAAAGTTAGTGAGGTATATTTAGAAGACATGAAATGAAATGGATTTATTTCATTTCATAATATTTTGTTGTTTTTACTTCACAAATTGTTGTCAAAGGAAGCAAATGCATGAAATAAGAATTTTACGATCTAAAATTAGATATTATTTAATGAGTAGTGAGAATTCGTTTTTATTTCATAAAGATTTGAAAGTATTAACACTTACATTATAGTTTCCCAATCAACGAGTAAATTGTTTATTTTCAATACCCTTAATTGAATATCACATTTGTAAATTTAATGTTTTTAATCGTTGATGTGGTGTTGTATGTTTCGTTTTTTTTATTTATTAATTTTTAATCAACAATTTCAATGACATAATACTTCCTTTTTTTCCTCTAAAGCTCATAAAAATCAATCAAAAATCAACAGAGGAACAATCAGATCTTCGTGAACAAATTAAGTTGATTGAAAATTTATTAACAATAAAAGATCAAGATATTTCAATGATGCAATTTGAATGTCGTCTCTACGCTGATAAATTGAAACAAACTGAATTGGAAAAAAATCATTTCATCGAAAAAGAACGATTTATAAAACAAAGATATCAAGTAAGATGATATGGCATATGAGCTTCGATTCACGCTCCCTATTTATATCATACTGTGCATAAGCTTACTTCATGAATTTATAAAACTTGTATATAATCAAACTGTTCACACACCTACATTATAAGACAATCCTATCAATACAATATAGATACTGGTTTTCATACTATCTTTTTCTAATTTAGAACAAAGCCAAACGTGCATGGGAACAATGTCAAACTACTCGTACACGTTTAAGTAGAAGACTTGTTCATCTACGTTATAACAGAGATTTATTATCAAAACATTTAAAGAAACAATATGAACAAATGAATCGTTTGAATAATTTATTTTGGGAAACTGGATGGGCATATGTTCAATCACAAAACTCTCTACAAAATATCAATAGACACGAAAAGAAATATGTAGATAAAGAAATGCAAACAATTTTAATTAATAACAAGGTAAAACAAGTAAGATGTGTTAAACTTGTAAAATACATGTCTCCGATTACGATTGTTAAGAATCAGTGGTTTGATAACCTATACAAATGGAGTAATGATTAAATCCACCCATTTTACATAAGTAACTATGACGAAATGCGGAGATGGTTTCCTGTAGAAATAGTATTATAGTGTCATTTTTTATTACTGTAACTGAAAATATATCTACTAAGTTTACTTGTAGTGGTTATCTTCAGTTTGATGGATATGTTATTTGAAATGTAAGAATGCCAAACTTTATTCACTAATATGTCCCTTTTTTTGAATATATATTCTTAATAATTTGCACATATTCAGATATAAGGTTGTAGTGAATATTCTTCAATGGTAAATAAGAATACGATGAATAATTTTTTTTGTTTTCAGTGTTTACTAAAGTATATGCTGCAGAAACTTTTTTAATAAATACTTGGTATTTTTAGCGGTTTATTTTCCAAAAGGACTTGAATCATCCAGAAATTCTAAAGTTAAAAGTCAAATAGAATTTTTCCATAGATAATTTTAATGACACACAACCTGTAATGTAGTAAAATGAGATAAATCATTATTTTGTCAAAACAACGTTCAACCTCCAAAAAATGTTTAAAAATAAGTAAAGTAGAATTATCACTTTCTGATGAAACTCTACCTAATATAGTGTCTTATTCAGTTGCATACGGTGTACATATAACATTTTGATGCAATACTCTGATGCAGATGTTCCTTCATGGATGGAAATATTTTATGACTGCACTTAGTGTGTATTTAATATATCGCTTTGAGATTATTCAATCATAACAGGTATACTCCATAAAAGTTTTAATTACTACTTTTATAAAAGGTTTGAGTATGAAATATAAGTTGTAAACATTATTGTTCACCCATCCATTTCTCTTTATAATTTAATCGTTTTATATAACAATTGATGTACTTGTAAAGATCTGCACGGTAGCAATATTTTTGAATGAAAGTTTTCTCACATATAGATGATTTGTTTTCACATAAAAGCTGGCCTATTAATTATGTCTGGCTTTTAAGGAAGGTTGATCTCAATATTCACTGGTTTCTTGGACAATATAAGACGAATTACCTCCAGGTTGAATATATATTTCTCAAAACAACCACTGTTTATAATGTAATTAATTCAGCGAATACAAGTTCGTGTATTTAGATTTTATGCCATATCTTATATATAGATTCAGTCAGTCAACTACAACGTAGGACCAGGAACATATATGTGTCGGTCCATGTTGCCGTACCGCACTACCTCAGCAAGATGAACGCCGGATTCATAGGAGTGGTTAAGTCAATGGTGGTAATATATAAAGAGAAACATCTTGTATAAGGATATAGTACAGGAAGAGAGAATTAGTACATAGAAAGAAAGATATGAAGCGATTTTAATCTCATGGTTTAAGGGAAAACAGGGATTGTATACACATACGCCATTGTGATCAATTCAGAGACATGTCACCAAGAGTCTCCAACCATTAGTTAAAATAGTCGCGCGAACCACAACCAAGTAGTCTGAATCTACCAACATGACTCACGCCACAAGCTAGTGCCTTGAAAGACTGGTGCAACGTATTGGTTTGGCCACTCACAATTTCCTTCCAACAATTCCCAACACTAGTCAGCAGTGCATGTCGTGATAATCGATGTTCAGGCATATGCAACAAGTGACCCGAACATTTCAGTTGATGAATATTCACAACCTCATCAACTGACTTGCAATCGTTCCCTAATGCCTTGCCTCTAACATCACTATTACTTACCCAGTGATCCCAATAATATTTCTAAGGCATCTGTGATCAAATACTAGTAGATTACGAGTATCTCCGACTCTTAGTGGTCAGGTTTCGCAGCCATAAAGAACAAAGCGAACTCCTGCGCAGTATACTCGTCCCTTAAATGAGAAGCCCATCCTAAGCATCCCGATAATGTTGCTCAGTGCTACAACAGGACACTGCATTTTACCGGCGTCCTCGCCAAACAGGACTGTGTCATCTTTGTATTCTAAGTCGATAAGTGGATCTCCTGGTAGGAGATCAATGCCCGAGAATTCTGTCGACGGTGATTCTGCCCTATTACGTTTACCGAATTCGGTAAAACAAAGTTTGAGTCTGAGATTTTAGTTATTGGAAACCAAGTGACTCAATTACTAAATTATTATGAATGGCGATTACTTAAAACAAGAAATTACTTTTTGTAAACACTATTGTTAAGAAAGTAGTTTCATCATGTACACCAATTAGACATCGGGATGATCTAAAACGTACCCGATGAAAACTGATTATAACTCACCAAGTGGTAACTATAACATGATTTGTAAAGAAGCTCTAGTCAGTTGCAAAAGCTGATAATTAACTGGAAATATCAGAGTTAAAGCACATATCATGTTGTACATGCATTATGCTACCTACCTTAATGAATACATGGAATTCTAACCTTGATATTGAACGATCAATTAATTGTAACTGAGTAGCTATTTATTTACAACCAATTGAATTATATGTAGACATGTAATTTATTGAATTAGTACTAGTGTATTCCTTGTATTACCTACTTTTATTACGTATCATTTTATTAGCAAATCACTAGTTTATAATATACGTCTATTCTAATATTGTTAGTTTATGGCATAAAATTCGTGAAATTTGTTAAAGCCATACACTATTTGTTTCATCTTCAGCCTTATGTGACTATAGACCAGATTGTACAGACTGACGCTTCACAGCCGGATAACGATGCTAAAGATGACACAGTGATATCATGCGCTATCACATGGATTTCAAATGATTTAGAAAACTTGACAGGAAAGTTGGAGAAATTGCTTAAATATCACGGAAAAGGTTGGTTTTTTTCCTTACTTTATGCATATGTCAGTACAATGAGCTTCAGTTATTATTAATCAAGGTAACTTCCAGTTGCCAACGTACGAAGTATAGTTTTTATGTAGATACACTTTAAAACGTATACAACTACGGAATATTTCATTTGTAAATAATCCATTCGAATAATACTAAATAGGTTGGCTACGCTAGGAGATAGTAGTATAATCGAGCGGAATATGTTGAACACAATCCACTCTTCTTAACTAAACATGACTACTGAACGTTTTAAAAGTCTGTGAAGACTATTTTTCGAAACATCTATAGAAGAAAAGATCCATGTTTTACGGAAGAGTGTATATGGATACCATAATGCGAACTGTATAGTGCTAAAAAAAATTCCATAGTACAACAGCTGATTAACAAACGTATTGAATAAAACAATTTATAGATTTCAAGACAGCTATCTCGTTTCCATCTTTTCAAGTAAATAATGCCGTTTTACCATATTTTGAATTCATTTAAAAGGTCAATATGACACTATATTTCTAACAGTAAATACTTCAGATGTGCGTAATTTAACCTAATATTTGTTTTCAAATAATGGTACAAATTATTATGAGTTTGCAAACTAAAACTGTATGTGGTGATATAAGGAGTTCCACCTAAAGAAAATAGACTACTCACACAGACATTTATTTTTAAAGCTGGTCCGCAGATTCCACTTTTAGGAAACTAAATACCTCAATCTTGATCAACTTACGTTTTCTGATTCAAAATGACCATTCGATAAGTAGCAATTACTCTTTTTTAGAATGCCATATACATGTGACTACTAAGTGTGACTACTTAAACTATAGTTTGATCTATTCACGGTTTATGTCTGAATATAAAGATTTTAGTCTCAATGCATTCATTCTTAAGTTTCTACTAGTTTACAATGATTTTGCTGGCTTTCATAAGATTGATATATGCTACAAAAAGAGTATCACTGGTGATACTGAGATGAAAATCTAAATAAAATTATTATCATTATGAGGTAATAAATTCTCACTAGATACATCTAACTGTAGCATTTTCAAACTAGTGAATTAAGCGTTTCTTACGCGTTTTTTTAAACAGAAAACTTCAATGATCAAGACCTAGACAACGAAGAATTTCATATAGGATTTAGTGAAAAAGTATCTATGATTTCACTGATTCTTGAATTAAAATGCAAAGTGAATTGGTTAAAAACGTGTTTTAATCAATTAACAGGATATACTTTTAGAAAAAACAGTGAAGTGAGTTAAAACTATCATTTCATGAATAGTATGAAAAATTTAGGAAGAAAGTTGTTCAACGTGTTTATTCCAGTCATTTAGTAAAGGACAATGAACATATTATTGTGCATGTCAAAAATAGGAAATAATAGAGTACACTGTAATTAATCAATAAGATAAAGATGTAGAAAAAATTCCAGTAGTCAGTTTGTTTTGCAATGTAATAAATCGTTTAGTTGAAAAAAATATTGGCTTGCAAGAATAACCAGACAAGAGTTTATTCGCTCACATCAAAGTGTCGACACACTATAAAATTATGTTGATAATCAATGGGATTAATATGGATTGCATAAATTATATCACTGCACTGATATTCTATATCCAGTCATCTTTATTAGAAGGCCATATCTTTATCGAGCTTTTCATGAACCCGATATCTATTTCTTTTGCAACTGCATAATTGACAGAGAACTAAATATATATATAATTGCATTGTGGTGTGCTACTTATATTGACATAAGTAGTATATGATGTTAGTCGTGAACAGAAGGTCTGGTAGCAGAGACAAGAGGATCGAACAGTAAAGAATGGAAACAAAATGCAATTTGTATAAAAATGCAAGAACAATGAAGTCTGAGTCATTTTGAGACAATCGATGGACATTTCACAAATTAAGCATTTACTTTATGATTGTTAGATTTTACTAACAAGTCCTGTAATTTTGCGTTAGATTCATTCGATTGCCCCCACTCGTGTTCTGTTCACTACGGTATGTGTACAGGCTATTTTAAAGTGATGATAAGCTTGAACGATTTCATGGTTTAAACAGTGGAACAAAGCCATTTTTTTAACGTAACACATTACATTTTATCACACTTTATATTATTGCTTAGGTAAACCCTAATTAAACAAATAAAACATCCCAGTTTTAAGTCATTAATGACAAAAAGGTTAACACTGCTCACAAGATTCCGTTTGAAGAAAAGATAGGCCACTGAAGAAATGTGGATTACACATGTAAGACAGATATAACGGTGTACAACGTGGTATAGTTCTTTAGAAATTCAGTAATATCCATTCATGGACATAGTAATTGATTCAAATTACTGAGACAGTAAAGTGAATAGGAAGCTTAACATATCAGGATGAAGAGAAGCAGGTTATTTCGGAATAAAGTATGTAAAATTTGAATGATCCTAAATAATGTGAAAGTTTTTGTTACATCAAATGCTTTCGTCTGGGGATCCCGAACAATATTCTCTAATTTTGTAGGGAGTCAGTCACAAAACCTATCATAATTACCCATAACTATGAAATCCCAGTATATTTTGACGTATATATGAGGTTATAGCAATAGATAAACGTTTGTTCATTAACAGAGGAAATCACCATTATGTAGTTTTCAGCAGCGTGTGATGGAGTGTACGCCGAATGACCAAGCATAAATGCATGGAGTAAGATAAAGTTATATCAAGAAGTGTATATAATAGTATAGAGCAACTTATGTTATTTACTAATACTAATACATATTTAGTAATAAAGAGAATAGGTAAATAAATGTGAGAAGTGACTAAAGGTTGAAATAAATGGATTCTTTAAGGAATATTACATAACCAAACAGATATAAAGCCTTTGGTAGATACTTCATGTATCCTTAACTAATATTTCATAATTTTGGTGGGAAATATATCAGATGTTTAAAGATCCAAAATGGTGCGATGTATAGTAGGAGCTCATTTCAATAATAAATTTTTCTTCAATAAAATATAGCTGTACATAACTTGTGATTGTCTTTATTCTGAGTTCTTCAACAATGGTTAAAGTGATTTTTTCTTGTGAATGTTCTAGTTTTCACATACTTGTTTAAGTGATATGTAACGAAAAATTCTGGCTTATTTAATGAATTATAAGATATTTTGATTGAATGGAAGTCAACGTTTTTAGTCAAAATGAAGCAAAAACCCTATTTGTTTAAGATAATTAGGTTTTTAAAAGATATCGGGTTAAAGTCAGGTTCACATGCTGTAATACTTACATTTTCATGTTCACAGGGTACCTCATAACAGAATCATAAAAATGTATGTAAATAGTAACCTTATCTACGTTTTCTTTAGGTATCAAGCAAAAATAACTTAACTAAATTGGAAGATATTAAAAGGAATTTCGAGAGTTCGACGAGCAACTTGAAGTTGTTATTAAGTCAAATGGAAACTGATGCACTAGAAGACGAATTATCATGTGTCGGTAAACTAGCCCAAACAACAGCAAATCAACTGAAACTTAGTCACTCAAGGTAACTTATGAATAAGTGTGCCGAGAACTTATGTTGTATTTGTTTTTACTTTTCATCCTAATTCAGTAAACATAACGTTGTTATGATACTTTAAATCCAATTACCTTAAGTAGAATAATTATTACACAGTAAAAGCAGTTTGGGCTTTAAATAATTACTGCTAAAGTTATTTGCGATGTGTAGTTGTAACATATTCAAACGAATCTTACCAAAGAATTACTTTTTTATCAGAAATAAGAAATATTGTAGCGTGCTATAAAATTCCATTCAATACGCTTTTTATAAACTGAAACGTAGACAGGATTTATTTTCATAATCACAGTTCGCTTTACTAACTTGGGAAAAAGAGCTAGAGTTTAATCATGAGAATATTCCACTCCCTGCCAAGAAAACGATTCTTTTGTTTCATCACTTGTCCCACTAATTGATGGATGTATCATAGTAAATTAAAAGAAGCAGTGATTCTTCCAAAATAGAATAATTTACAAAGTTTGTATGTTGTTTTATCTTATATCTAATGTAACAGTTAAACATTCACTTGCTAAAAGAATGTATTTACCATCGTCTATGCTTTCAAAGTATTTGGACGTCGGGTTTATGATAGACAGTCGAATAGGGATTAAAAACAGTTGAGCACTACACTACAAACCGTATCCATGATGTTCAGTCTTTAAAAGATAAATAAGGAGAAAATATTTCACAATCTTCATGCATTTAATAAACCGACGTCAATATTTTTATAACATGTGGCTTGTGTGCCCTGCTAATGTATAACGTAACAATACCGCCAATTAGAGAGCAGTGAATTACCGATCGGATCAATGACGCGTAAAACCCGTACGAGCAGTCTAGAGTAATTGCGGTTCTGCTTAGCCCAGTTAGTTAAGTCCAGAACACCAATCTCAGCCTCTGCAATATGAATCATTTATCTCAAGTATACTGGGTTTAGATACCAACCAGACAGACCACACCTTACCATAAAATATGAAAAAACATTTGTACAAGAACTAGTTAAATATGGCTGTGAATGAGGGAGGTAGTAATTAATATACTGGTTATAACTCAAGAATGGTAAATAGTATAATAATAATTCATAGGTCAAAATAAGGCTCATAATACAAGGGGCATGAATATGAATAGTTTAGTTGTTTAACAATTATACCATAAAAATATACGCATAGTATTGGCCGATAAATGGATCCCAAAAGTTACCATTCATTATGCTTATCAGGACATAACAAATATCTGTTCGAGGACTAAGTTGAATCGATAAAGAAATCCATATATGACGTTGAAGTTAGAGAGAAAAATAATCTTCACACACCTGGCGAACAAACGACCCAAAAAACATACATCTTAATTAATTCTGATGAAGGGAAAATATCCTGAAGACCACAACTCCAAGTTTCAAAATCACTGCATATCCACATTTTGATTTTCCAGAGAACTTAGCTTATAAATATTATGATGTACGGTGTTCAGAATCTGATACTGATACACGGTATGTTATGCGCTAACCACCAAACGACTACTTGAGCGAGAAAGTGTATTGGACTACCGAATAGAATGCACAAATACTCATTCATATATATATAGTGCTATCCTTAAGAAATTGACCCATTGACCCCATTGAAATTCACTTAAAACTTAGGTCACTTCTGGTTGCCATTGATCGACCTATTTTACTTTTGATTGGCTCTCCATATCAAAAGATCTCCGAGAATCCATACATATTGAGTCTATGTATTAACATTTTTAATTGTAAATTACTTGTTCCCACACTGGTTACTTATTATCTATATATGACAATACAACTTAGAAAAATAAATTTGCTAAAAAGAATCTTTGTTGAACTAAGTGACATCACATTAATCGCTTCCTAATACACGAACACTACTTTGGTCAAGTAATTAAGACACAAGCTTGTATTACTTTGGTCATGATGTTGTTTTCTCGGCTTACTGATACACAGCATCTATCTTAAGCTGTAATATTACCTCTTTACGAAACCAACTTACAGAATTATTTGTCGGATCATCTATTACTGTTCAGTTATTTGTTAATTAAATCAAGGAGATAAGTTTTAAAGTGATAAAGACGGAGGATACTAAAGTTAAATATTTCATCAATAGCAAAGCCTGACAAATAGGAGATTAGACTGTCTGAAGTGAATTTGTTGGCTATTTATAAGTTACGCATATTTTCCTGAAAATCATATGGAAATTTTATTTACTATTTTTGATATATACTACTACAATAATTAAGTGAAAAATGACTGTAAGCCTTTTAAATAGCTTATTAATACAACTATGAACTAAGTTGATTTAATTTTTAACTTTTAGACTTGAAGAAAATCTCGATTCAATAAGGACTGATCTTATTCGTCTAAAGGCTGAATGTCACTAACTATCAATAAAATGAAGTCGTTCGTTGGACTGAGGATAGATGAAACAGCAAGAAATCCAATCTAATTTGTGACCTTTTATAAATTTATATATATATATATATATATATATATATATATATATATATATATATATATATATATATATATATATACGGGATATCTATGAAACTAAACGGATAAAATATCATTTGGTTTGAATATAACGATCTATAACAAATATCCAGACACGTAATACGATGATACTCACACATAGTTAAGACAGAAATTGACAGACAAATACATCCCTGGCTTCTGTTACACTGCAGTCTATCATCAAGGTGTACGTTCTTAAAGTCGAAATTCGTTAGTATAGACACTGCATAAGATCTGTTTAAGCACACCGGTTTTAAGTGGAGACGATAGGTTACAAGTTTATTGGGACTTTATGATACAAACTTTTAGGGAAGTGATACTCAGATTCTGCGAGTTAAAATCAGCAAACGCCATATTTTTGAACATTGCTTTTTTACAAAAACTGTGTGACATGAACAACTTTACTGAATCAATAACATCAAAAATTTTAAGAAAGTTGCTCCAAAACATTAATGGATGAATGCCAGAAATATAAGACAGGAAGGACAACGACAATGCTAGTCACATCAATGATCCCTATGCAACATATTCTTCAGTTGTTATTGGGCAGCAAACAACATAACGGATTTTGATTTAGACTAAAATAGGCAAAGTAACCACTCAACACACTGGATAATCACCAAGCCTTTATCAATCTTTTGTTTCGATAGAACAATGAGAAGACGGAGTTCATATGAAAAATATGATATAATTGCGCTATACATTTCACACAATCCGGTCACACATACTTGTCAGGACATTTTATATGAAAATTAATAAACGTCAAATTACGGCAAATTGTTTTTGTGCACATAAGATGGGTTTAAATTTACGGATAGCCAATGCTTCAATGAACTTGAGGATTCGTCCTTGACAATTTCTATACAACATCTTAAAAGCTGTAGTGATGTCAATTTGGTGCCGTTTCAATTGTGTTTTACTGTCGATGTACATGGTTTTCTACCTCTGATGTTGATCGGGTCGTTTGATACTAATTGGTTTTGAAGTCATCTAGGCACATGCTCAATGACCCTTGACTGCATTGTTCGACTGCTACTCCATGTATGTCCGCACAAACATGTAAATTGGTAATACAATGGAATATGACGCAATCACTTGTGCATTATCTAGGTCTGTTTGAAATCATGGGCTGTCTTTTCAGTCACAACTAGTTTAGTAGTATAATAGCTTTCCTCGATAGCTGCTTTCAACATATGTCCAGAAGGCTTCAAAATCAATCGTATTAGTTTATAATTAAAAACAGATGTCATTTTAAAACCACTATCTATATGTTAAATTGCTGCTTCATCGCTACTACTATATACCTGGGATTAAAAATTGAACAGAAAAGACTAATTCGACGATTCCCAATACCTATAGTAACGAACCTGTCTACGAAGAACTCGATTGGGTATCTCATAATCCACTTAAACTACTTGGATAGTTCTAAGAGCATTTTGTGGCCCTTTAACTGACTCCAATTAGATCATATGTTGATCGCTATTGAATGATTGCTATCGACATAACTCGCGTTAGTGAATAAAAGTATTAAAATAAGTCAAATACGAGAATGGATTTTCGAATACACATAATTTGTACAATTGTTTAACCGTAACAGATAATCAGAGACGTAACGAAAGGAGCAAAGACGAGAGTGAAACGAAACGACGCGCAGTGTAGGCATGTGAGCCAACTCCTCTTAATTAATATTTATAGTCACACAAAAATGGGTTACAAACATGTGATGAGTAGTATAAGATGTACACACATACGCTCATATAAAAAGTCAGGGTTAATAAGTGAATAATCAAAAAGGTCAAAACGTGACTCAAGAAAATGGGTAAATTGTGTGTCCAGAAACTAGAATAAATTATATAGGCTTGACAAAGTAACCGGCACTACAGGCAAGCGAATTCTAGTGGGTTACGCCTCCTCACTCATGCTTATGTAGACCGCATTAAGGACACGGACTGAGAAATATCTTCGTTTGCTTAATTGACATAGATCAATAAGATCGTGTTTAATCAAGTTTATATCATACCTATATGATGTACAAAAAAAATTTCCAACAATGGCCGTGTAAACAGCATGGTTAGAATCTAGGTAACTTGCCCCTTTTGAAGATGTGTACCGTTGAATATAATAGTAATCTTCGGAGAACAGTGTATAAGTATTAGACAATCTTTTTAATGCTACGAGTATACCGGTTAAAAGAATCAACATCTCACTAAGATGTTATATAGTGAACGCTACCGAATCACTTATTTTGTGATATTTATGAATAGTGTATAAACATTAACGACTATGAACGGTGTACCTTTACTGTACGTTGACGTTTTAATGACGAAAAAGTGGGTGGTGAAATCACAGAAAATTAGGGTTACGTAGAACATTAAGAAATTTTGAAAGGTGTGAAAGCTATAATTAATTGAATTCGAGATATCTACTGCATGCACAGTAAGTAGTGAGTTTACAATGGATGGCATAATTAAAGCCTACACGAAATATAGACAACTAAAAACAAAACTAATCGCGAACTATGGTCAAGGTGGACACGAGTAATAATCCTCTAACAAAATCAACGAATCAGAATACCTCTTTCATAGGACTTTAAACTGTCATTTTGTCTATCACGTTTCCTCAACTAATAGTAGTTGCTTCATTATGGTTTATTGCCGGTTATTTACATTCTATTGTTCATATCCACAAATGACTTACTCCTGGAGAAACCTACCCATTTCACTATTGCTTTAAAAGCATTAACAGAAAAAAAGTACTAGGAAATTCAAATACCTGGCACTACTTAAGGGGAGTTAATGTACAAATTTTTTTATGTATTTGAACACATAAGTCAGCTACAACGTGGACCAGGAACATATATGCATCGGTGTAAGTTGTCAAACCTCATTAGCATAACAAGATGAACACCAAATTCATAGCAGTTACTTCAATGATAGTAAAAAAAAACATTTCATTTACGGACATGATACAGAGAGAAAGAACTAGTTCGTAGAAAGAAAGGTATACAGTGACTTTAATCTCAGGGTTTAAGGGAAAACAAAGATTGTTTACACCTATACCATTGTGATCGATTCTGAGCTATGACACCAAGAATCTCCAAACATTGGTGACAATAGTCACGCGGACTTCAACCAAGTAGTCTGAATCTACTAATATGGCTCACGCCACGAGTTAGTGACTTGAAAGACTGGTGCAACGTATTGGTTTAACCACCCATAACTTTCTTCCAACCATTCCCAACACCGGTTAGCATTGCGCGTCGTGATAATCAGTGTTCAGGCATACGTAACACGTGACCGAACCATTTCAGTTGATGAATATTCACAACCTCACCAACTGATTTACAATCATTCCCTAATACCCTGCGTCTAACCTCACTATTACTTACCCAGTGATCCCAGTAATATTTCTAAGGCATCTGTGATCAAATGCTAGTAGCTTACGAGTATCTTCGACTCAATTTATTTATTTGAACACATAAATATTGGTACAAGAGGACACCAAATATATATGCGCCACACAAAACAATGAGAATGGGAAGAGAAAAACGGTAAGGAGCTTAAAGGAAGAAAAGAACAATAACGAACAGATTAATGTACGGTAGTGTAATAATAATAATAAGGGAAACGGAAAGGTACAATCAGAACAAATCTTTCAGTTAATGAAGATACGACCATGAGGAAAGCAAAAGGAGATTACAGCAGGATCGCCACTGACTTTATTCTGAGCCATATCTGAAAACGTCTCTAGCCACTGTGTTGCATCATCTCTCAGACCCCAGCCAGGGAGTAGTGAAGGAACAACACAAGCCAGTCCTTTACAGCTCTCTTTCATGCCACGACACCATGTCATGCACTGACCACCTCTCCGCTTTTTTCAACCATTCCCAGAGTCGACAAATGATGCACGACGTAGAGTCCTCTGGGACGACATTCGGAGAACATGTCCAAGCCACCGAAGTCGGTGTTTCAAGATGGTGACACCAATTGAATTATCATCTCTGTGCCCGAACACACGATGCCGAACCTCTGCATTACTGACATGGTGTTGCCACTGAATGTCAGCAATCCTTCGGAGACAGCGATGATCAAACACAGAGAGTCTTCTAACGTCCTCCACTCGGAGAGGCCAGGTTTCACAAGCATAGAGCGAAACTGTTCTCACTGACGCGTTGTAGATCCTACCTTTTACACCCAGACTAACATCACGAAGGCGCCAAAGGTGACCCAGATTGGCATAAGCCGCTCTGGCTTTCACTATACGTGCATTGATCTCAACACTCACACTCCCACCAGCACTTATGCAGCTACCCAGATACACGAACTTCTAGACTACTTCTATCTGTCCAGGAAGGACGTGTACCCTTTTTAAAGATAAGACAACTAACGACTCATTCCATGACGTTTGTACACTATCTAGCTCACAAACCTTTGCAAACAACGTCGTCAGTTCCTTAGACAGAAAGTCAAAACCAGTGATCTCAGCAATATTTCTAAGGCATCTGTGATCAAATACTAGTAGATTACGAGTATCTTCAACTCTTAATGGCCATGTCTCGCTAACGTAAATAAAAACAGAACGAACTTCTGCGCAGTATACTCGTTTTTTTATTGAGACGGATGTCAACTTCGCCATAGGTGACGGAAGTTGACAAAAGCCAAACGAGCTTTCTGAATCCGTGCAGAATTCCGTCAGACACCCGCCCATCATGGCTGATCAAACTTCCAAAACAAGTGAATTTTTCAACGCGTTCGACTACATCACTCCCTATCCTTAGTTCACGTAATGACGCAGGCCAATCCTGAAGCAACAGCTTGCATTTAAAGGGGGCTAAGCCCATCCTAAGCAACCTGATAATGTTGCTCAGTGCTACAACAGGACACTGCATTTTACCGGCGTCCTCGCCAAACAGGACTGTGTCATCTTTGTATTCTAAGTCGATAAGTGGATCTCCTGGTAGGAGATCAATGCCCGAGAATTCTGTCGACGGTGATTCTGCCCTATTACGTTTACCGAATTCGGTAAAACAAAGTTTGAGTCTGAGATTTTAGTTATTGGAAACCAAGTGACTCAATTACTAAATTATTATGAATGGCGATTACTTAAAACAAGAAATTACTTTTTGTAAACACTATTGTTAAGAAAGTAGTTTCATCATGTACACCAATTAGACATCGGGATGATCTAAAACGTACCCGATGAAAACTGATTATAACTCACCAAGTGGTAACTATAACATGATTTGTAAAGAAGCTCTAGTCAGTTGCAAAAGCTGATAATTAACTGGAAATATCAGAGTTAAAGCACATATCATGTTGTACATGCATTATGCTACCTACCTTAATGAATACATGGAATTCTAACCTTGATATTGAACGATCAATTAATTGTAACTGAGTAGCTATTTATTTACAACCAATTGAATTATATGTAGACATGTAATTTATTGAATTAGTACTAGTGTATTCCTTGTATTACCTACTTTTATTACGTATCATTTTATTAGCAAATCACTAGTTTATAATATACGTCTATTCTAATATTGTTAGTTTATGGCATAAAATTCGTGAAATTTGTTAAAGCCATACACTATTTGTTTCATCTTCAGCCTTATGTGACTATAGACCAGATTGTACAGACTGACGCTTCACAGCCGGATAACGATGCTAAAGATGACACAGTGATATCATGCGCTATCACATGGATTTCAAATGATTTAGAAAACTTGACAGGAAAGTTGGAGAAATTGCTTAAATATCACGGAAAAGGTTGGTTTTTTTCCTTACTTTATGCATATGTCAGTACAATGAGCTTCAGTTATTATTAATCAAGGTAACTTCCAGTTGCCAACGTACGAAGTATAGTTTTTATGTAGATACACTTTAAAACGTATACAACTACGGAATATTTCATTTGTAAATAATCCATTCGAATAATACTAAATAGGTTGGCTACGCTAGGAGATAGTAGTATAATCGAGCGGAATATGTTGAACACAATCCACTCTTCTTAACTAAACATGACTACTGAACGTTTTAAAAGTCTGTGAAGACTATTTTTCGAAACATCTATAGAAGAAAAGATCCATGTTTTACGGAAGAGTGTATATGGATACCATAATGCGAACTGTATAGTGCTAAAAAAAATTCCATAGTACAACAGCTGATTAACAAACGTATTGAATAAAACAATTTATAGATTTCAAGACAGCTATCTCGTTTCCATCTTTTCAAGTAAATAATGCCGTTTTACCATATTTTGAATTCATTTAAAAGGTCAATATGACACTATATTTCTAACAGTAAATACTTCAGATGTGCGTAATTTAACCTAATATTTGTTTTCAAATAATGGTACAAATTATTATGAGTTTGCAAACTAAAACTGTATGTGGTGATATAAGGAGTTCCACCTAAAGAAAATAGACTACTCACACAGACATTTATTTTTAAAGCTGGTCCGCAGATTCCACTTTTAGGAAACTAAATACCTTAATCTTGATCAACTTACGTTTTCTGATTCAAAATGACCATTCGATAAGTAGCAATTACTCTTTTTTAGAATGCCATATACATGTGACTACTAAGTGTGACTACTTAAACTATAGTTTGATCTATTCACGGTTTATGTCTGAATATAAAGATTTTAGTCTCAATGCATTCATTCTTAAGTTTCTACTAGTTTACAATGATTTTGCTGGCTTTCATAAGATTGATATATGCTACAAAAAGAGTATCACTGGTGATACTGAGATGAAAATCTAAATAAAATTATTATCATTATGAGGTAATAAATTCTCACTAGATACATCTAACTGTAGCATTTTCAAACTAGTGAATTAAGCGTTTCTTACGCGTTTTTTTAAACAGAAAACTTCAATGATCAAGACCTAGACAACGAAGAATTTCATATAGGATTTAGTGAAAAAGTATCTATGATTTCACTGATTCTTGAATTAAAATGCAAAGTGAATTGGTTAAAAACGTGTTTTAATCAATTAACAGGATATACTTTTAGAAAAAACAGTGAAGTGAGTTAAAACTATCATTTCATGAATAGTATGAAAAATTTAGGAAGAAAGTTGTTCAACGTGTTTATTCCAGTCATTTAGTAAAGGACAATGAACATATTATTGTGCATGTCAAAAATAGGAAATAATAGAGTACACTGTAATTAATCAATAAGATAAAGATGTAGAAAAAATTCCAGTAGTCAGTTTGTTTTGCAATGTAATAAATCGTTTAGTTGAAAAAAATATTGGCTTGCAAGAATAACCAGACAAGAGTTTATTCGCTCACATCAAAGTGTCGACACACTATAAAATTATGTTGATAATCAATGGGATTAATATGGATTGCATAAATTATATCACTGCACTGATATTCTATATCCAGTCATCTTTATTAGAAGGCCATATCTTTATCGAGCTTTTCATGAACCCGATATCTATTTCTTTTGCAACTGCATAATTGACAGAGAACTAAATATATATATAATTGCATTGTGGTGTGCTACTTATATTGACATAAGTAGTATATGATGTTAGTCGTGAACAGAAGGTCTGGTAACAGAGACAAGAGGATCGAACAGTAAAGAATGGAAACAAAATGCAATTTGTATAAAAATGCAAGAACAATGAAGTCTGAGTCATTTTGAGACAATCGATGGACATTTCACAAATTAAGCATTTACTTTATGATTGTTAGATTTTACTAACAAGTCCTGTAATTTTGCGTTAGATTCATTCGATTGCCCCCACTCGTGTTCTGTTCACTACGGTATGTGTACAGGCTATTTTAAAGTGATGATAAGCTTGAACGATTTCATGGTTTAAACAGTGGAACAAAGCCATTTTTTTAACGTAACACATTACATTTTATCACACTTTATATTATTGCTTAGGTAAACCCTAATTAAACAAATAAAACATCCCAGTTTTAAGTCATTAATGACAAAAAGGTTAACACTGCTCACAAGATTCCGTTTGAAGAAAAGATAGGCCACTGAAGAAATGTGGATTACACATGTAAGACAGATATAACGGTGTACAACGTGGTATAGTTCTTTAGAAATTCATGGACATAGTAATTGATTCAAATTACTGAGACAGTAAAGTGAATAGGAAGCTTAACATATCAGGATGAAGAGAAGCAGGTTATTTCGGAATAAAGTATGTAAAATTTGAATGATCCTAAATAATGTGAAAGTTTTTGTTACATCAAATGCTTTCGTCTGGGGATCCCGAACAATATTCTCTAATTTTGTAGGGAGTCAGTCACAAAACCTATCATAATTACCCATAACTATGAAATCCCAGTATATTTTGACGTATATATGAGGTTATAGCAATAGATAAACGTTTGTTCATTAACAGAGGAAATCACCATTATGTAGTTTTCAGCAGTGTGTGATGGAGTGTACGCCGAATGACCAAGCATAAATGCATGGAGTAAGATAAAGTTATATCAAGAAGTGTATATAATAGTATAGAGCAACTTATGTTATTTACTAATACTAATACATATTTAGTAATAAAGAGAATAGGTAAATAAATGTGAGAAGTGACTAAAGGTTGAAATAAATGGATTCTTTAAGGAATATTACATAACCAAACAGATATAAAGCCTTTGGTAGATACTTCATGTATCCTTAACTAATATTTCATAATTTTGGTGGGAAATATATCAGATGTTTAAAGATCCAAAATGGTGCGATGTATAGTAGGAGCTCATTTCAATAATAAATTTTTCTTCAATAAAATATAGCTGTACATAACTTGTGATTGTCTTTATTCTGAGTTCTTCAACAATGGTTAAAGTGATTTTTTCTTGTGAATGTTCTAGTTTTCACATACTTGTTTAAGTGATATGTAACGAAAAATTCTGGCTTATTTAATGAATTATAAGATATTTTGATTGAATGGAAGTCAACGTTTTTAGTCAAAATGAAGCAAATCTCTATTTGTCTTCTGCGTGTTCTAGGTCGATAAGTGGATCTCCCGGTAGATCAATGCCTGGAAATTCAGTCGAGGAGAGCGCTATTTCCATCAGGTCTATGATGAAGTTGAACAAAATTGGAAATAATGGACAGCCAGACGGATAGCACTTGAGGTTTCAATCCTCAAGAGACAACAGTTATTAAACAGAATCGTCTATTTTTAATTTGTAGAGGCAAGGTTCACATGTATAGAGCAAAGCTGCCATCGACGACGCGTTGCAGACTCAACCTTATACACCCAAACTAACGTAACCGTGCCAAAGACATGGCCCAGTTTGGCGTAAGCCACCGCAGCTTTCACAGTACATAATTTTTTCTCATCACAAGCAACAACTAGTACTTACGCAGCTACCCAGATACGCTAACGACGCAACTACATATGTTGTTATCAAGAGTTACCGCAGATTTAAGATCATTTTAGTCTTGCTAAAGTACTTTTTACTTGGACTGTTCCGAGCCTTTCCTATACCTGCGGATACGAGCTAAGGGGGAAGGCTGGATATCTTGTGTGTCATGAAACCGTACGATTGTTACCCCGTAAAAAGTATGTTTTTAACATTGACTAAGAATGACAATAAAATCAATACATATTTGACCATGACGAAAGCCAACCCGCTCTTCACGCGTTGATCTTTCTAGGGCCTTTGACCAAAAAATCTAATCCACACGGGAGTGAAGCGCCGTCACAATATACAGTTCTATGGTACCTGGTGACCAACAATATATCGAAGAATAGCTTAAAATTTTGTATGAGTTGATCTGCTCATAGTGCACAGCGGCAATCGGAGTTCCACTCATCGCCGATTAAGCGCAAATATCGGTATTTTGGTGAAATAGGGATGCCGAACTTAGGAATACAGTTTATGAAACTTGATAAGTAGTATCCACGAACAAATTTAAACCACTTAGCTTACTTCAATATATATTGAAACCACCATATGGATACTGAAAAACCCTGGGTTTCGTTTAAAAACGCTCATATCCTACAAAAGTTTATTTCCAAAGAAAATTATTTTGCTTTTTTAACTTTTAGTTTCTTTGAATAAAACTCCAACTCTTTGCCTTCGAGAATATAACCATCTGCTCGACCGATTTGACCAGGTCTAGAGGAAATACAAGCTAAGCAGTGATAAGGTTATCTCGATGACTTACCTAACAGACGACCCGTAACAAATGCTTCTTTTAAAGGTTCTTCTACGTTTGCTTGAGGCAAAGCCTGACGAGTTTCATACTTTTTCAAGGCTGACTTGCTTCGTTTCTTCAACAAAATATCTTCCTCCGGGTTTTCCTGTGTAACTGTGTGTCCTTTTTTACTAACGACTTTACGGCGACCAAGTTCTTTTAAATAGTGAGCTTCAAACCATTGTCTGAATGGGGCTCCGTCGATCTGAACTATTGCTCTCTTGACAAGAGTTTTTGTTCGGACAAGTTCATTACTAGAAGCATTATAGACAACATCAATTATTTTAGTTTTCCGTGAGATAGCTTGAGAGGGCCAGCTGAAATTCCCTTGATCCAAACGCATTGCACGGAGCTTTATATTTCCACCTCGGACACGAACTGTATGGACACGTTTGGCTCCAAGCTTTGTCATTGCTGCTGGACGTCCTAACTCGAACTTTCTCTTTTTGCGATTTCGCTCTCTACGAGCTCCAGTTTTAGCCCTTTTATGAATGCGATCTCGAGCAATACCTTCAAGAGAAATTAGTACATCCAATAAGGTTTTAATAAATGAGAAAACAGGTCACTAGCCGTCAGATGACATGATTACCCTGAGACCGCAACGTGACACATTTTAAAATAAAAACTTTAGTTTGTTAATACATACATTTTAAAACGTTCTGGGCATTTTTTGTGCCTGATATCATTGTAGTTTTGATGAACAGTAGTGAGACACCGGTGGTTTATCCTGACTGCTATAGTAGTCGAGGGAAGCAACCATATCCCGATCTAATAGTACAATTACGAATACGGCTTCATTGACTAAACTGTTAGTAGAACGTTACATAGATTACATGATAGGTGGGTTGAGAGGAATCGGACAATTATAGTTGTTAGAACCACATGGCATTAGACTACTCTGGTGCAGAAATATTTGACTGAACAAAAAATACTTATTCTAGCTACAGCTTGGAGTTTACATACATATCTGAGTTTTATCCTGCGAAATTACCAAAATTCAATCCCAAAAATTTACGTAGATGCCCGTCACTAAGCAAAGCAGTGGTGCGTCAGAAACTATAGCACAGACGAATGCAAGTAGCCTGGTGAGTGCAACTACTGGTGCTTCCGGAAAACAATACACATGCTAGATGAACACCAGCCAAAATAATAAGCAACTTTTAATTGAGGAGGATGTGCCGAGTCTCAATTGCGCTATCGAGCTGAAGCACGCCTTTGGTTTTTACTTTAAGCAAACGGAGGGTTCTGAATATCACAGAGCGAGAACTCACTACACATCATGGTTCTTTTTATGCATCCTCATGTCGGGATGAGGATTGGAACTTAAGGTACGAGACAGACGGTTTAAAAACTTCCGTTCATAAGTAATTTATATAACTCAAACGTAGATGGAAAGCTTATTCAAAAGTCACAACATCCGACGATGTATCAAACCCACCCATGCCGCAGACGATCTAATGATACCGCCAAGTTGTGTGCACAGCAGCCAGCAAATCAAAACAAATTCGGTAAATTTCAATAAACAATCATAGTACCCTAAGCATACATACATCACAGTATCTGAGCGGTATGTTTGAAAACGATAGCCCGCAGATTCACAGAATTTTTCTGACAAACGTTTACACAACAGGGTGTTTTTGAGCTAAGTGATATCAGTAGTGGAAGTCATGTGCTTATGTGTTTGAACGATTTCACAGTTGGGATTCAACAAAGAGTTGGGGCGATATCTAACTTGTTTGGCTAAAAGGTTGTGCTAAACGGAATGCGCCAAGAAGTAGTTCTTGAATCAGTATTATTCTTCCTGAAATTTAATGGACTTCCTAGTCTTCTATTATCGTTGTGTATATTATTATTAATCGTTTTATTCTTAGCTTTGTTATAGTTATATGCCTGTAATATCAAGATATGGAGATTGATTATAAGTAAATGTGACGGTTTAGGTCTCCCAGGCAACCATCGGAAGGTACCCAAATGATTTAGATTTTGGTAGTTAGTAATAAATGCTTCCATGTGCATTATGACGAACATTGGTCTACAAAGCATGGACAAATATGCAGTGAATAATATTGGGCTCTCTATTATTCAAACACAGATTGTTTTTAGCTGAGGCCTAAAAACTACTGCACTCTGTCAAATGTGAAAAAAGTACAAATGAGTGGTAACTGCTAGAAGTAATTATGGACTACCATTACACATATTTATATGGGATAATTATTAAGCAACTAGATTATAGACATTAACGAAAATGTGTCCGTATATATATTCTTTTTATCATGAGCTTTCATTCCGTTTATTGTTTAATGTAACACAGTTAAGCATTGTTAAGGTATTCCCAGTTTATAAGTTACAGTTTTCCACAATCATGGCCACATTTGACTTGGTCTTGTATAATTGTTTCTTTCCATTTTACGGTAAGATGCGTTCAGGTCTGCCTGTATATAAACCAAGCATATCTGAAATATACGATCCGCACAACAGAGACTAATATTATGTTCTGGATTGAACGGAGGGGCTAAGAGAGTTGTTATACAGATAGCGAATATGGACTCAGAGTCGATTCAAGGCTGCTAGTGTTGTTTGACGCATCATTGGTTCAGCACATGGACGAAGTCATAGAAATTGATATTGTAATTGACGATTTTGTCACGTTATATTTGACTGGCCGTAGAATACAACATACTATGCCACCAAACAACTGCTAAAGGCCTTAGAGTACTCTGATCAACACGTATGGCATCTAGCCATATCTGAGTTAAGTCCCTCTTAGCTTTATTTGTATCATTTGTTTGTTCTAAACTCGAGCTGTTACCCTTTGTCTAAAAAGACAATGAAATGTCAAAAAGGTTTAAATAACCGCACATAAATTGATTCCCAAGATTTTAAAATGTTGTACAACAATAGATTGGATAAACTTAACCTATTCCCCCTGTCAGATCCGAAGCAATTTGATCGCAATTTTTAATTACCTACGCGTGTTACTCCTTGTGAAGAGATAGGCCGCCGACCAGAAATTTGTAATCAACTCTGTGCTGAGATTTATATTACGGTTGTTTCCAGCTGCCATTCACTCTTTTGATATCTGCTTCCAATTTTCGATTCTGTGTTTTCGTTGATCTTTCCTTTTTCCATTAGGATCCTAAGCAAGCGCTTGACTCAAGAAGCAATTTGATTATTTCCTTATTGTATGCCTTATCCACTTTCACTGTTTTTTCCTGATTTTCTTTCCTGCTGGAAGGTGGTTGGTCCTTTCTCATAGTAGGTTATGGTTGATGGTACATGACCACCAGATTTTGGATATCTTGCACAGATAATTGTTTACAGTTACCTGCAAGCACTTTTAAAAAGCAAGTTTGCTTCCAGTGGGACGATATTGATGACTTCATCTCCAACACTTCTCAGTCCTAGTTTTTAACTGGCAGCAACTCTAGAAGAGCTACAGGCAGAGTTACTCGATAATACGCTCACATCTGACATGGCTTGATGTTTATCCTCTTCCAAAACGGAATTTACGAGGATACTGAAATAAACCACAAGTCCAGAACAGGTAACTTGTGAGTTGACTGTTGAATGAAGCTTATTATATCAACATGTGACTGACGTTCCATTTGTCAATGCATTCAAAAAACCGGATCAAGAAGACCACAATCTCCACGACAATCGCAGGCTACCCAGCCTCCAGTATTTTTGAGGCTGAAACTGATATGAGTGTTTGTTTGTTTAATATTCTTTCATAAATAAGTCCCATTGTGAATTGAAAAGATGAAAACATGTTCTCCTCTAGTGTGGAGTCTATTCCTTGCTCCTCAACTGTCTTTCATGTGCTGCTTGAGATTTATTGGGAACTTTGTAAAAATACATTGCATTGAGTGCAAATTTACTTACCAGTATCCCATCTTATTCAAAGTTGGAATTTCACTGACCACATGAATAAAAATCCTTTTAACTTTTTCCATTATGTATTATTGCACCATACACTAACAATGAGCCTATCAACACATTGTAGCGCACAATGCTTAGGCTGACAGGAATAAATAGTACGTAGCAGCAGTCGGATGTTCCACGTCTGTCAGCAAAAGACTGATAATACCGGATTGAAGAGAACAGGAGGGGAAACAGGGAAATTTTATTAACAACAAAATTGAAAGGATCGTGAAGCATGCCAAGGGCAACTGAAGTAACGTTCGAAAACAAAGTATTCAATTGGTGGCTTTCATATTTTATGAAGGCACCTTTAATTTTGGTTTTAATCACCTGAGTTCTCGTTCACACCAAAAATACTGAGCCGTCAACGAATTGTCAGGTCGATTAAACAGAACCATATCTTTGAATAATGATTACTGAACACAGAAAAGATTGAATAAATTCATCAGGGCCATATCTGGTCAACATGAATTTCCGTGCGGGAACATGGTATTCGCGACTGAGATTGTGTGGTCTTGAACCAATCAAGGGTTAATAATTTAGGTTCAGGATTATGGAAATTGTGCGCAATGCCTATCATACCCAGCATATTAACCTCTCAGCATTCTCGATCAGTAAACGAACTTCAAACAAACCCTGATATCATCTTGTTGACGCTCGGTAAAGTATCAGAAGTGGTCTTCATGGACAAGTTTGAGTATAAAAGTAGGATGTTATCTACCATCATGAGTGAAACTAAACATTTCCCTGATGTCGAATTCGAAGGTGTTAGCATACTGGAAGGAAGTGTAAATTCGCATCTAGTGAAAGTGTTATACAAAAATACCATCGATAAAAAGGAATTAAATTTTCTAAAAATAGTGGATTTTGAACATCCTTATTTACATCGATTGCTCGAAATTCACAAGTAAAATATTTCTGCACGATATATTTCACAAATGTGTTGACCGACTACACAAATTCTACCTAAATTGCCAACGAAGTTTTAGAGATTCTATCCGAGGTGTTTACGTGAGTTTTTTCCGAGGGATACTTTTTAATTGGTCATTTATTTAGGTGATATCAATATCAGTGGATATGTGAACGAACTCTCATTTATTTGTGAAAGAAAGTAAGACACGCATTATTTATTAGATAAGGTTAACACTCTTCAAATTCACATCCGTCTATTATATTGAGAGAGGTATGGCCAGCTTTCTCTCCTGAACATACTAATAAATAGAACAGAAAATGCTTCAAACAAACGATCCATTCTTAGAAAGCCAACTTTGACAGACAAGTTATTTAATTATAACAGTCATTACCCAGGTCACGACAAACAGTATTTGCTGAAGGGCCTATTTAACGGGATTGATTTTACTTGCACAAACGACGCCACTCATAACGAAGTAAGGTTCTTGAACAAAATATTAATGGGAAATGGTCATCCTCCAAAATTCGTAAATATATGGAAACGTCATAGTGCAGCGATACTCACTATATTCTTGGCACAAAAATGTCTATCAATATGATTTTACCTCACAGACTTTAGTCAAATAGTTTTATATTGAAACGCAGGATCAAATAGGTTATTAAATGTTGGGGACGATAGATCCCTAAAACTTACAGTTTGTAATTTTATCTTTGTGGAGCTTGTATGCAAATGCATGCTTGGTCATCTCTTACCACCCAAGCACATAGTCGATGGACGAACTTATCGATTAAATATTTAAAACCTTCTATGACAATATCGATTACATATATTTGTATATATACGTTTTAAATTGTGTTTGTTGGATCACTCGTTTCTGGCTGTTTGCGGAATATACTTCCCATCCCAAGCTTGGACTTCTCCCTCTAGTTAGCGGGCCTGGGACGCATCAATAGCTAGCTTACTGGTCTTTGGTCACCGAGTCTTGTTTCGCGTTCGCAGATTAAGTGAACTCGTGACAGCTTCAAACCTAATATTAACAAACGTGCTACGCAGCAAAGATCGATGCTTTAACAAAAATCCAAAACGCACGAAAATGATCGTAACACATCAGACTGTTTGCCGATGAAAGTGTCTACGTTTCCACACATACGTAGTTAGGAGCGATGGTGATCTCCGAGTCAGACTGTCTAAACGTGTACCTAAATGGTTGCAAAAACAAATAAGATCAAATGATTAAATTACATTAGATGACTAACATCTATCGTCCGCTATTGACAAACATATAGTCAAAACATGTAACAAGTATGAACTTAACGTAGCTCTTGAAGCGTTTCATAGAATGTTAAACAGTGTGTATTATGGCTTATTGAAGCCTTTGACATACACAAGTTTGGCCCTCTGTATGCGCTCAAAAACAGTCTGTTCCCATCCCAAGCCTATCTTGGTAATGCTAGCTTACTTTTCGGAGTGGTGGTGTAACTAACCAAAAACTAGTGAGAGCGTTCTTTCATCGTTTCAACAGTGTGAAAATAGTAGCTAATACGATTTAGGAGATCCACACTGTCCTCTGAAAAAGAATTAAACGTTAATGAAGATAAACGCAAGGACACTTAAACATGGCCGCACGGCTCAGCTAAAGGCTCACTGTGTGAATGTC